ATATTTGGTTGCTTTCTTTGTTGCTATGACAAATATTCCTATCCAAAGCAACTGAAGGAAGAAAGGGTTTATTCTGGTTTACAGTTTGAGAGAATCGACTGTGTCATGGTTGGGAAGACATGACAGCTTCTGGCCTAGTGTCACACTGCATTTCCAGTCAGGAAGCAGAGAGTGAACAGGAGGTGAGGCTGGACTATAAAGCCTAAAGGCTGACCCCCAGCGACCCACTTCCTCCAGCAAGACTCCTTCTCCTAAATGTTCCATAACCATCCCAAGCAGCTCCACAGACTGGGAACCAAACAGACAAATGAGCCTATGGGGAAGATGCCACATTCAAACAACAAACAACAAACACATTGAAGAGAGAGAGAGAGAGAGAGAGAGAGAGAGAGAGGTTGTTTCCATATATTGACGACTGTGAATGATGCCTCAGTGAACACAGGAGTAAAGACATATATGTATGTCGTGAGGCTTACATTTCCTTTAGATATGTACCCAGGAGAGGGATGGCTGGGTCACATGTAGTTCAATTTTTTTTGAACCCTCTGTACAGTTTCCCACAAGAGACGCCCCAATCTACATCTCAACCACGAGGATGTAACCATTTTTTTCCACATCCTTGATATATTAGTTACTTCTCTTGTGATAAAATATCTGAGAAGAAGCAATTAAAGGCAGAAAGAGTTTATTCTGTCCTATACTTTGAGGCATCATTCCACCACGGTGGCAATGGCATGGCACCAGGAGACGAAATCAGGGCAGCAAGCACAGACATCTGACTAGTCACAAGGCACCTGCAATCAGAAAGCAGAGGATGATACATGCTGCTGTGAGAAAGCTTCCTCCTTTTTATGAAATCCAAGACCCCAGCCCAGGAAAGGGTTCCTATCACTTTTAACCTAATCTAGATTATCTCTCACAGCCGTGTCCAGAAATTTGTCTTCAGGATGATCATAGTTCCTATCAAGATGACAGTCACTATAAACAACCACAGTTGCCAAGCTTTCTCTTGTCTCTTGCATCAGAAGCTGTGCTGGCAGGTATGATGTAATAGCTAGTTGAGACGTTGATTTGCATTTCCCTAATGACTAGCAATAGGAGCACCTTTACATACACCTGTTGCTGTCTGTCTGTTTTCTAGAAAGTGTCTTTTCAGCTCTTTTACTCATTTTAAAGTCAGATTATTCAGGTTGTTATTATTATTCCTACTCTATTGTATGAGTTTTGTGAGTATTTTTTCATATTAACCCTTAGTTTACATATTGTTTACAAATACTTTTCCCAATTCTTCTATTTCCTGTTCATTTACCTACACGTTTCCTTTGTTATGCAGAAGGTT